ATGTTGATTATGGGACTGATATATCGTGAACGAATTAATTTTTTTTACATGTTTTGGAAATTTTACAGTTGAATTGTATTGAATTATAGCTTTTGATGGTATGTACAAATGAGAATGTTGTGGCAAAATGGAATGACTGATGTGAAAATGGAATGGTGGTAGTGTGGTTGCAATTGAATATGTCGTGGCAAGTTGAATGAAATGTCGTGGCAAATTCAATTGTGATAAGTGCAAACAAATAGAAATGTCAAGGCAAAATAAAGTGCAATTACTGGATTTAATATATATATATATAGGACTTTAGCTTTCTCACACGACAAGCTGCTATGGGAATGAGTGATAGGAGTAACCGAGAAAATCTAAGTCTATTTCACCAAATGATATTTCTTCTATGCCTAGTCTGCCCGACAGAGCCTACTAAGGTGCCCTATGCTATCTCTAGTAAGGGACTTGACAGATTAAAGATGTCATGACAAAACCGATTGGCGTAAACCCCTGCAGTGATCCTATTGGTTCAGATAATAAGATATGTCTCGGCAATACCTTTTTGCGGCAGCATTAACATCTAACCTATCGTTCTTGCACAACTCCTTTTAGTCTAATGAAATCTTATCCTTATCTCTAAGGTGGATTAGGCCTAGTTACTACATAAAACCCCATGTTTATATAGTTCATCCCTAGTTTCTTTCGAACACTAAGGATAAATTGCCAAGGCATTCTCTCGAACCCTCAAGATCTCTTAAGTAAAGGCTACTCTCGTAGCTCCTACAACCTTAAGGCATTAAGTTTCATAAACAAAACAGGTTAAAGCATAGCAAAGCAACCATTCATTGAAATAAAAACTTAAACATCCAAGTGAACTCCCACCAATTAGGATTAGTTCATGGTGGGGTTCGAAATACACAAGCAAAAAGCAAGTATCATTCGTTCCTTACAACCCAAAAACAAAATATGAAAGCAAAGAACAAAGGGGATGAGAGAAAGCCTTCGACGTGCACTGCCCAATGCTTCCCTCGGCCACCAAGCACTGCTCCTAGCAAACTGGCTCCTCTCGGATGCTCAGGATGCCACTCCCTCAGGCTTGTCAAGGAGAAATGCCACAACAAGTAGGATTGACGGAGAAAGATGAGACATTTTCTCTCTAACTTTTTAAGCTCAAATTGGGTGGAACCAAAGTCTTCAACAATGTGGCTTCATCCTCTATTTATAGGGGAAAGTAATCCTAGGACTTGGTGTTGACCTTCATAGGAAACCCCAAAACCATGGTTAAGTTACTTAAGAGTCGGGCAGAACAGGCTATGATACAACCTGGGTAGCTGGCTGAGTGACCGGCATAATCCCGTTGCAGGCGCCCAAGGACAGACATGATCTGCAGGGTCAGGTGGCGTCAGCAGTAGGACCGACGGTTGCAGTGCTGATCCCTCCAGGCGGATCTTCGAGGTAGATTTCTCGGGCAGAGCTCTCGGAGAGTTGGATACATCTAGCTTCAAAAAAATATCTTCTCGTACTTTAAGTCTTTTTCGAAATGCGGGTTGAACTTGGCATTTTCATTCTGCTCAGCAATCTCCTTATGTCATGACATTTCTTTTCCTCTTTTCATTACTTTCAAAACCTGCACATCATCAGACAAGCACCTTTCCCATAAGGCAACACTGCTTTAAAAATAAAATGTCGCAACATACTGAATTCCACCACATGCAACTAAATGCTTCTAAATGCATCTACATGGTCCTAAATGAGCTATTGGACACTCAATAACTTAAGTGAAAATGTCCCAAAATGTGGCCTTTTACGGAGTTATCAGCTTTTGAAGACAATTTTGTATGCACGCAACTCGAAAGGCATCATGACAGGATAATATATTTGGAGCAACTACTTGACCCTGTCATGATGCCTTTCGAGTTACAAAAGAGACTGAGAGGTGAATGTGATGTTTGAGATTTCATTATATTTGATTATATGTTGGAAAATCTTTAAGCACAATAATTAAATGAATAAATTATTATATGTCATTTATACAAAATAATTACAGCTTTGTTGGTGACTTTCAATAATGATACTTAGTTCATCTTAGTAGTATTTGTCAACTCTGCATTTCTAACCCCATTTTTTTCTCACAAGCATTTCATCGAACATCTATGCTTCACCTTAGATGTCATGTATGTAATATTACACCTTGAATCGTTGATGGTTCCAATAGTCATTTGGTCGGGTCTTCTCTCAATGGACCCTTATTCAAGTCAACACCTCAACATAATTCAAAGTTAGATTATAATTTCCCATGCATCTCCGACTGAAAAGTTACGCTGGAAATGAGAAGAGAGAAGCGAAAAAGGAAATTCGAGATCGAAAAGGAATTTGGGATTTAGAATAAAATTTAGGACTATGTTGCAAGTTTTAAAAGTTGGGGGACCTAAATGCAAGCGCCTGAAAAGTTAAGTGACCATATTGCAAATGTACTAACAACAGTTTAACGACGTCAAACGGCCGGTTACGTCGGGGAGCATATTGCAAACAAACTAAATATTGGGGGACCATATTGCAAACAGACTAAATATTGGGGGACTGTATGGCAAGTTTTAAAAGTTAGGGGACCTAAATGAAAGCTTTAAAAAAGTTCAGTGACTATTACTATACTTTACCCTTAAAAAAAACTCCGGACGAAAATGAATGTCTACACAGTGGTTGTAAGATCCCAAGAGCTTTGTTAAAACCAAGGATCCATGATCCTACATTGTCTCTAAATACTCCACTGATGGCTCCATGTTTAGTGGTGGAGGAGACAGCTCCATCAAAGTTCAAGCAAATCAAACCGGACTCGAGAGATTTTCAATCAACCTGCTGGTTCGGGTTGGAACGATTGGACGTTGAAAGCACTTTATTTTCTGCGTAGTAACGACCCCAGGTGAAGCTACGACTAAGGGTGGAGTCTCCATTATGAGGAATGCTTTTAAATACTTTGTCGTTTCTGCTCTTCCATATATGCCAAAGAGTTACAACAAATAAAGTACTCCAAGAAAGGTCCCAGTGTGAATCACTTGATTGAGAATATTATCCTGAAGCCATTGCTGAGGGTCGCTGAGATAAAAACAATCGATCAAGTAGGCAGGGATAAGGCGATTCCAGACAACTTTAGCTTCGATGCAGTCACGCAATACATGGATGGTCGTTTCTTGAAAATTATGACAGCATGGACAAAGGGGTGAGCTGCCAATAGTTTGGTGGTGTCTCTCAGAATTTGTTAATAATTTCAGCTTGAACGACAGCCACAGGAAAAGTCAAAGTCGTAGGGGTAGCACCTATATTGAACTCCAGATCGAGAGTTTATCATCCCAAGTATGAGCGGTTCAATAGCTATAAGCCATCATTGTTTCAAAGGTGTTCTTGATCTAGTGCCCCAGTAGGGTTGATCATCCGAGTCCGAAGCATCAGGACATCTTATTCCATGGATATGGGAGATTGTCTCATCGTGGAATATGTCTGATAGTTTGGAGAAATTCCAATTTCCATTGTTGTTAGTTAGTTCTTCAAATGAGGCCAAAACTAAGTTTTGATTCGGGTTCTTCACGTAGTTGCACAAGGGACTAAAGGAATGTATCCAAGTATCATATAGACCATCAAACACTTGATATTTAATCAACTAATTAATGTTAAGTTAATTTGTTCTTTTTTAGGAATGGTATTTGTGTATTTTTAGGATGTAGATCTAGGGATGGACATGAGACCCGAACCCGATGAGTTTCGACCCGACTTGATTGGGTTGAGTTTTTTTTTTTTTTTAAAAATAAGGTTCGAGTCGGGTCGAATTCGAGTTTATGGTGAAAAATACCCGACTCAACCTGACCCATAAAAAAATATAATTTTACCTTATATATTTAAGAATAATTACAATAATATTCCTCTATATATTATTTTTTTCAATTAAATCATTATTTTTATTGAATAAAAATAATATTTTTTATTATTTCGGGTCAGATCGGATCAGGTTCGGATTTTATCTCAAAAAATCAGGTCAGATTTGGGTCAGATGGTGAGTATATATTTTTCGGATAGGATCGGGGTGACCCAAACCCGACCCATGTCCATCCCTATATAGAGCACTCTGAAAATAGAAAAAGAGAGAGAGATAGAGAGAGAGAGAAAAGAAAAATATAAAAAATTATTTAATGGATTAGTAATGAAATTTTGTTCTCTGAGCGAGATTTTAGTTCTCTCATATATTTTACTTAAGATTTAAAAGATAATATTTTAGGTTTTAGGCTTTATAGTTTATAGGTTAAAATTAAAATTTGTAGTCCTCAAATAGGATACACGATAATATTAGCGTTAATTTTTTTTCACTGCTAGTGTATGAATAATAACTCATAAAATATTGAGGATTTTTTTCTTATACTCAAATCAAATTGAAAAATAACCGTAAACAAATTAAATCATTTTTATAATTATAGATTAAAGTGATAAAATATATTAATAATAAGAATACATTTTATTATTAGACCAATTATTTAATAACTAGTCATTCTTTGTTTAAAAGAGCTCATGGCTGCGTGTGCGGGGAACATTCAGCCTTTTTATCTTAAAATGAAAGGTTGTTAAAAAAATAAAAACTAAAATAGTTATTTTGATAAATCATGAGGGTTAATTCGACATTATACCATTAGATTTTATGGAAATAATACACGTTAGTGATCCTAGCGTACTACAATTGACCAATCAGATGCCCCGGACATTCTGGAGCCGTTGAAGAGAACTTAAGCGACGGTGCAAACCCGACACAAAATATGTGACACGGATCCCTCCCATTAGCCGTTGGATAACACCTCAATCTCCAGTTCTAAAAAAAAAAAACCTCAATCTCCAACCAATAAAATTAAAAGCCACGGATTGTAATATTTACCGTCGATAAAGTTTCAATCCAACGGTATACATTCTCTTCTCTTTTTGCTAACCCCGAAAAACACACCCACGGTTCTGTCTATTTAAAATCCTTCCACACGTTGCCCATCTCAATTCTAGCGGAATTGAAATCTCAATCTTCCAATCTTTTTTCTAAAAAAGGTTCCAAATCTTGAATATGTCTGGCCGTGGGAAAGGAGGCAAGGGGCTGGGAAAGGGAGGAGCCAAGAGGCACAGGAAGGTTCTCCGGGATAATATACAGGGTATCACTAAGCCGGCGATTCGCCGTTTGGCCCGTAGAGGCGGTGTGAAGAGAATCAGTGGTTTGATCTACGAGGAGACGAGAGGCGTACTCAAGATCTTTTTGGAAAATGTGATTCGTGACGCCGTTACCTACACTGAGCACGCTAGGCGGAAGACGGTTACTGCCATGGATGTCGTTTACGCCCTCAAGAGGCAGGGCAGGACCCTTTACGGTTTCGGCGGTTAGGGTGAACATTAGAAGGCTAGTTTGTGAATTTTATGAAAAAGCCTTTTGTAGCTTTTCGTTCATCAATTCTGGGTTTTGATTTGCTATGTCTGCAATGAAATACATCTACTGTTTAATGCCCAAATGTAATTGAACTTTGTTTGCTTTTAGTTTCAAAGTAATTTGGGATCTTGAAATAATCAAGAATGTAAGAATGCACTTTTCAATTGGGCAATTAGCCCTTTCTATTACAAAGTTACTTTCAAAAACAAAACATGGCTCAATAATGCACAAAGAAAAAAACTTCCACTTCACTTGGATCTGGACGGTGTCCTGGTTTGTAGGTTTATGATGTAATGGTCAACTGTGATATCATTGTTGTTCAGCTTGAACAAGCATCGGATAATATCTCACAAAATTTAATCAATGCAAGTCACAACCATTGCGTGAGGATCGGGTTTATCAATTGTGACAGGCAGACTTGCCCTATTCACCATTCTTTAAATTTCCATTATCATCGTCCCAGCCAGCCCAGTTCATTTTCATTAGCAATCGCTTTTGTAGCATCTTCCTTTGTATCGTCTTTTGTGCCACAATTATCCCAATCACTAGAACTATGACCATTATTGAAATGTTCATTAGCATCGTCCCAGCCAGCCCAATCATCGTTTTCATTAGCAATCGCATTTGGTGTGTCTTCCCTTGTTGTATTGTCTATTGTGACACAGTTTTCCCAGTCACTTGAACCATGAGAAGAAAATTCCCATACTATGTCTTGTTTAAACGCCTTATAATGACCGTTCTTGCCCTCATGTCTTGGCCAGTTATTGCCTTTCTGGGTCATTGCCCCAACCATTTCTGTTGCTAATGTGACTACCTCTTTCATAACACCCCATGTTTTACGGCTAATCTCACTCATCTTTGTAGCCACAACATTGGCTGTTTTGTGAACCTTCGTGTCATTGCCACCCTCCACCTGCATAAAGAACCAACAATTTATAAAACTATTTGAATTTCAGGGTTAAATGTACTAGATTAGAGATCAAAATTTCAAAACATTCCAATTGAATCCTTAAAGAAAATTTAGCTTCAATTTGGATTGTTTAAAAATAGGGTAAAGTACAAAAATCGTCCCCCTACTATAGAATATTTCTTTATTAAGTCCCTAACTATTTAAAGTTATAAAATAGTCCCTTAATTATAGGATATTATTTTGTTGAGTTCCCCGATTATTAAAAACAATAAAATGGTCATACAACTATTCATATATTCCAAATTTGTCTATTTTCATTAAAACATTGATGATTGTTTGAGGTATACGTCAATCTATTGACCGAAATATAATAAAATCCTATTTTAATAATTTTTATTGCCATTGTCGTTGCTTTCAAACACTGACTTGATGATATAATATTTTATGCACCGACTTGATCACATAATATAAACGAGAAATCAATTTATAAAATATAGCTTAAATAATTATGAGATCAAATTTTATCATATACCAGTCAACAAGTTAATGTCTAACTAAGACAATCACCAATATTTTAATAGAAAATGACACATTTAAAACATATAAATAATCGAATGATAATTTATAATTTTAATAGTCATGAGACTCAACAAAATAACATCATATTATTGAGAGATCACTTTATAACTTTTAATAATTGAGAGATTTTAATAAAAATAAAATATTTTATAATCGGGATCATTTGTGTACTCTGTCCTTAAAAATATTAATTAAATTATATGTTTAAGAAAAGAATCATTTCAAGGTCAAGATAATATTTAGCGTCAAAATTATTGATAAGATTAAAATGATAAATTAATTTAATGATTAAAAAATATGTAAAATTTGAACTCTAAATTTGAATGTAATTAGCGACTTTGAACAAAATTCAAACAACAAAATATATATTAATCCAAAGGAAGAAAAAATGAATGAAATGGATACAATGGGCTAACCTGAGACTTAAGAGAGAGGATATCCCCATGAGACTTATTTTTCTTATGGACAGGCTTAGTAGTTGATCCAAACCCAACAAATTTCCCTCCATGCGAAGGTGGTGGTGGCTTTTCCGACATCAATTCTGTATCCTTATTCGCCTCAACTTGAATATCCTCCGACGACTTTGACCTCATCGGACCTGCTCTCCGACAATAGCACTTGTTCTCCACTCTAAAATCACTCAACGTTTGATTCCTCGTCAAATCGCTCGAACCTCCATTCTCTTCGTTATCATTCCCGTTACAACCGCTCAACGGCGGCTTTCTATGACCGCCGCCTCCGTTGTCACTCTCTTTCACAACAGGCGGATCCTGCCAAGGGCGGCCTTCGGCTAGTGCTTGAATACGATCGCGATAAACACCGGCGGCATTTGAATTATACTTGGTAACTATGTCGGTTTCTTTAGGAATCCCGTACTGAGCTAAAAAGGCATTGAACCGCTCATTACCACCGGATTCCATTTTCTTGATCTGGATCTCGGACCATGAATCCATGCTAACGGAACGGACGAATGAGATGTGCACACCTAAGCCACGGTGCTTGCCGGAGCATTCTAAGCACATGAAAATGCCGTACGAAACCGAAGCCCAGGCGGGATTTCTTCCGTCACAATCGACGCAAGTTTTGTTACCCGGCTGTGATTGAAGGATCTCTAATCGTTTTGTTGCCGCCATAGTTGGTAGGACCGGATCCGAAATCAAATTCGGAGAAAAAGAAAGAAAGGATCAAAGAAATGGATGCAAAAAGGAGAATGGAAGAGGATTAGCGGAAGGCTGAGATTTGTTTGAGGAGCGTGAGAACCATATTTAGGGGAAACGGTGGTGGACGGCGAGTTCTGTGTTGAAATTAGCAAATTTGGTGGGCAAATTATGTGTTTCGTATTTTTCACAAGACGCGCGTAGTTCGTGTGTCGATCGTTTTCCTCGCCTCTTTGGCGTGTGCTGTATGTGTAGCAACAGAACCGTATTTAATAGTTTATAAAATTAGGGTTATATATAACTAAGTCTCTACCCTATATATATATATATATATATATATATATATATATATATATATATATATATATATATATATATATATATATATATATATATATATATTTACTTCGGTAGATTTTTTGGGTTAAAATGATGGTTATAAATTGCTTTGTTACTTGATTCACTCTTGTTGTAATTTTTCCGAATTTATTTTATAAATTATATTTTTATGATTTTATCTGATGTTTATCGAAAATTTCAAAGATTTATGATCTCTAAAATATATTAGTTCATTGATCTCTGTCAGTTGTCCAATTCATCACTAACTAGATCTATTATATGAGTGTCATGTCAACTCACATTAACGATATGCAAATAGCCATCGTCACACTATGTCTAGCACTACTCTTAAAGCTCGTATATAAAAAAATAGAAAATTTTTTAAACTCTTTCGATCGAAACTAACCACTATTCATCATCTTCCTTTTGGTCCAGGTTTTTTGTCCAAATCAAAAGAGGTGAAATCATATTCGTCTATCATAATTTGAATTTCACAACCAACAATCGGTGCGGTGAACGTGTATCTATTTTTCGTTAAAAAGAATCAAACAGATGAGCCTCTTAGAGCAAAACAACTATTTCAACTTGCAATCCTCGTGTATTCCCAACCCAATTAAATGCGTCGTTAACATAATCATACGAGGATCTCAACCTTCAGAATCCTTTGGCAGAAAGTCGCACCTCTGAAGCGAATGTCCTTGAGAACCGCCACGAAAAGGCTCAAACCTATAGAAGCGTGAAGGGTTAGTTTCAGGGATATAGACTTCCCAAGTCTTCGATGAGATCAGTCATGACCCATTGATCGCCTCAGCTCGCGTTAATGATTTCACTCTTAGAAGAATCCTAATGGATATTGAAAATATACTAGTTATTGTAATGGGAAGCATTTCAAAAGATGGAAGGATTGAAAAAATAGTTGAAGCCTTGTAGACCGATTGATGGTTTCTCCAGTCCCGGTGGAAGTAAAGGATCCATCATGTTTTCTATTACCTTGGGACACGACAAGCACACTATTACAAATGTTACATAATTTCTCGTTATGGATCAATTCTCTGCGTACAATGCCATCTTTAGAAGGCCTCCGATGAGGAAGACCAAATTCATATCGGCTACTTTCAGTTTGACCATAAATTTTTTCACTCTCACCGGAGAAGGATATATAAAGACGGACCAACTAACACTCAGAGTACCATTTGTGATCCATGCAGATCTCCCAGCATACCTTCGTTGAGTTTCTAACTCAAACTCTTAAGGCGATACAAATCGACAAGGAGATTAATATCCTCGATTGCGTATATAAAGACGTTTCGAGCGACAAAAAAATTATGAAGGTCCAAGTCGGCAAAAAGATGAAGGCTATCCCCTTCTTTAAGGGAGATAAGGGAAAAACTGCACAAGTGACTGTCACTCTCCCCAAGCTAGAGGCGCTCTTTGATGGAGGTACTCAAGAGTCGAGACCTATTTTGATGTTTTCGTATGGTTTGCTGCAGACATTCCTGAGATTAGCCCCTCAATCATCATGCAATTGTTTAATGTTAAACCTTCACCAAATCTAATCAAATCGAAAAAGAGAAGACAAGTCATCGACAAGATTCAGGATGAATGGATTATTATCTGTGAATGTTAAGAAACAACGATATCCATCAAGGTTTTTAACTTTAGAATGGCCCTAAAATGTTAATATGAATAATTAAAAGGTTGTTAACAAATAGAAGATTACTTACTAAGCGTGGAATATAAAAATTATATATTAGTTGAATGGTGTCAATCCCTTCAACTTTGGAAAAATATTCGTATGTTATTTTAACATTGGATGGTTTTTCTAGTGATTAAAAGGTCTGAAATAAATTGATATCACCCGTTGACTGGTATGATGCTAAAAACTTGCCATTCATGTCGAAGAAGTTTTGTGAGCAGCCGTACGTGCAAAATTTAAGTACCAAGTTAAACTTTAAAGCAAAATTTAAGTACGTAATTGGATTTAAAAATTAAACCTTAAAATTAAATTGAAGCAGCTAATTGAATAAAAAATAAGTATTATATTATATTTAGTTTTTAAAATATTTTTCTGAACATGAAATGCCAGCCAAGATTTATTGAAAAAGCAAAAACAATGAATGAGTTCGTGGAATCCAGGCGTAACACACTACATCCTTGGGAACAGATGTGAAACATAAATATAAAGAAGAAAAGTAATAGTGATGAAACAAACAAAAATTCGAATAGAAATATGATGGCATTTCAGTTTCTTTGCCCTTTGAGAAAAGCTTCCGTTGATGCGAGCTGGAGCAAAGGAAAACGAAGCTTTGATCCTAGATCACTTCATGGTTCTTTAGGAGTTGATGCAGTTATGGAGGGTCAATCCACCTCCGATCCACAAATGCTTGGTGTTCAACGGCCCATGGTGCCTCCTCCACCCAAAAATTGTCTGCTGTGTCGAATCTCTCCCCAGCAGCAAGTGTATAAGCTTTCGAGTTACCATCTCCCAGAGTATAAGGGAAGTTGCATGTCTGAAAACTCTCTGTCCTCCCCTGTGCTTCCCAAACCAGAGTGCCAATCTCTGAATAGTCTTGCATAGAGGAAGAAAGTTTCTCTATGACACAGCGCGAGTCACTCTCGACGATTAAACCCAGAAAACCCAAGTCAAGTGCCAACTGGATAGCGTGATTCATTATCCATGGAGAAGTCTCGACATTGGGACCGAATCATGATGGTAAGATCCTCTCTCCTTAATACTCTGCCTTGGTGATAACGTACATTCCGAGCGTACCATAGTGCTCACACTGTTGTTAATATCTCAACATGTTTATTGGTGTGATGATGGCTAAATAACCAATAAAATCAATCTGTGCAATCCGAATCCAACACATACAAGGGCCATTGTACCTGCATGTCTAATCACACGTATTGAGCTAAAACACAATCTCTAATAACGTGCAACCCTGACTCCACACCAGTGCCACAACTGGGATAAGTTGAGTTGTTAATGAGACTTTTGGCATATAGGTTCTGCAACGGTGGCGCAAAATTATGAACAAATTTCCACGACTGCAGTTTAATTTTACGTTGACACCATTAGCTCATATATATCGAAATACGGCTATCGCATCATTGAAAATACTTATTTTTGGTAATAAAAGCCTGTATGAGCTACGAATTATGAACAATCCCGATTTCTCCGCACTCCATACTCAGCAATCTTCTAGTGGAAAACTTGAAGGGGGAATAATAAGAATTTTCGCTTCCTCTTCCTCAATGAACACCCTGTTAACTAGATATCCTCTCAACCGAGATCTAAACCTTTTGAAACTGGATCAATCAATTCAACAACTCGATCAACTTCCGGATTAAACGAAGATTCTACACGAGTACGCACTCTGTTTGGAAGCTAAAAATCATTCCAAATTGAGATGGAAGTGTCCGAATCCACTTTCCACCTTATACCCATCTCTACAGGCCGTCTCGCATACGGATGTAAAATCAATTTAAGTCGAATCTTGTCAGGTCAGGTAAAATCGGATACAGATCATGTCAGGTCAATTTGATGGTTCAACTTGGATCAGGTCGGGTCCAAGTCAAATCAATTCGGGTTATTTTTAGTTTGAGTTTAGGTTGGGTTAATTTCAGTTCAGATTGATGTCCGTTTAAATCAAAATAGTTTAGGTATGGAGCAATTAAATACTAAGTTAATTCAGGTTTGGATAGACTTCAGTTGAATCTCATTTAGATCGGGTCGCATTATTGATAGATAAAATTCAGGTCGGATCTTTATCGGATACAGATTGAGTTCAGGCTGAGTCATATTTTATTTTTGGATTAATTATTTTTCGCCTTTTGTGAACGTTGAATTGCAATTTGTTATTATATATGATTTAGAATAAATTACTAAAAATATAAGTAATCATGGATAAATTTTTATAAAAATATAAATTTAAAGACTAAATTGGACAAATATGAAATTATAAATAAAAATTTAAATAAATTAAATGACACACATTGACGAGGGATCAAATCAAAATAATTTTAAAACGTGATGTTGAAATTAATATAAAAATGACTAAATAATTTGAAGGACTAAATTGAAAAAATATAAAATTAAATGAATTAAAAATTAAATAAATTAAAGAAAAAAAAAGAAAATCAAAATAATTGTAAAATGTATTTTTTTTTAAAATAGACTAAATTACTTTCCTTTCAAAAGTTGACAAAAAGTTAAAACAATCATAATATATATATATATATATATATATATATATATATATATATATATATATATATATATTATGCAATTTATATTTATATATATATCTAAACTATATAGTATGTGAATTATATATATTATAAACTATATAGCAACTATATAATATATAAACTATATTGGAACTATATATATTATATATAATTTATATATATATTATGTATAAACTACGTAGTTTATACATAATATATACATATATTATATATAAATTGTATATTGTATATATGAACTATATATATAAACTATATAAATTATATGTAAACTATATAGTTTATATCTATATACTATGTCTAAACTATATAATATATATATATATATATATATATATATTATAAGTTATATAGTTTATTAATATAAATTATTTATATAGTATATATATGTATATATATACTATACAATTGTGTTAGGATTGTTGAAGCTCAATTGACAACCGAAAAAGTTTGCCAATAGGGGGTGAATTGACTTTATGAGAAATTTACGGAGTAAGGAGAATGAAAGTGATAGAAACTTGTTGCACAAGG